CTGATGTGCTCTTTACAGACCTGCTGTTTTCTGTTCCTTTTGTTGTTGTCACAGTTGTCTCAATCGCTGTTGACGGGTGTTAATTAGAAATAAGGCCCTGTTCACTTTCTGACTGTGGTCTTGGCTGTTTTTTCCTCCACTTTGTTGGGAGCTTGTTTGGCTACATTCTTAAAATAGCTCTCTGACGTGTACAGTCCTGCTGCGGAATGCGACTGTGGCCATCCAGAATTCTCTGTGGCAGGATGTTATGCAAACATGCGTTACTGAATGGGGAGGTTTGTTGTTATCTCAGAGTTCGCACAGGGTTTGGAAAGTTGGGAAAACGATCGATTTGAGCAATTATATTTTCAAAACTTAAAATGTTTAAGTTTTTTTTTCATATGTATAGTGTCAATTTAAAGGTGCTGTGTGTAAATTTTAGCGGCATCTAGCGGTGAGGTTGCGAATTGCAACCAACGGCTCAGTCCCCTAGGGATGTAACGATTAACCGCGAGCCGGTTGAAAATCGATTTAAATATGTGACGATTCAAATCGGTTGAGATGCTAAACAAATCGCGATTCAGTTAAGGGTAGGAGTTTATATGAATGTATGTCTGAAGGGAACTTACTGTCTTTCGATGGTATTTTTTCTTTTCCTCACCACATGCTGTATTATATACCGACTAATACATTACAGAAGGTTTAGCAATCATTGGGGAATCAAATAAATAAAAGGCAAAACTTTGCTTCAAAAATGAACCACACTGCTGACGTGATCTAATCGCTAGCACACCCTGAGCACATGTGAGTTAACGCATTCCTCTTATCGGCAAGACATATCGGCACATTTTTTTTCATATCGGGCCGATGCCGATATTTACATTTAAAGCCATTATCGGCCGATTCTGATATCGGTCCAATAATATCGTGCATCCCTAAAAAAGAACCTTTAACAAACATCAAATGGAGAATCCCTTGCACTTTGCAAGTCTCATTGTGTCGATGTTGCGAAATCACATAGAAGAACACGTGATGCATTAACACTTGAAAAAATTGCATCTGCACATCCTGTTTTCATCTGCAATTTAATGAAGCACTGAATTGTTCATGTCACCGTTTTAATGACAGCTCGTAATAAGAGGAGATTTCTAAACTATGGCGAGGAGGAACAACACAGAATCTATAGCTTAGAATGCAAAAACGAGACATTGGTGTAGGGCTCGCAAGATTAACTGAAATAAAACCAAATCACGGTATGGCTTAGTGTGATTATCAAATCACAAAGGCTGCAATTTAATTAAAGAAATGCATGCGCTGCGTGTTTCAGAGTGAAGCGTGACACTGTGGTGTTACACGTGAGGAAGTGTTTGCAGCTCGGTTCACAGTAAATGCTGCTCCACACAAACTCTATCCTATACTTGTAATGAGAAGGACTTATCAACAAAAGAAGCTTTAAAGGGATAGTTTACCCAAAACTGAAAATTCTGTCATCATTTACTCACCATCAAGTTGTTCCAAATACTGTATGTATGACTGACGTCCAGCTGGTGAACACAAAAGATGATATTTTGAACAATGTTGGTAACCTATTGACTTACATAGTATGGGAAAAAAATACTATGGAAGTCAATGGCTCCCAACATGCTTCAAAATATCATCTTTTGTGTTCAACAGAAGATAGTAAGTCTAACGGGTTTAAAACAGTAAATGACGACTTTTCGGATGAACTGTCCCTTTAAGAGATTCCTGCGGTTTTCTGTCAGAATAAAAAATGTGAAGGTTTATCTTTGAAAATGAAGAAATTAAGCCATAAATAATGTAATCTAAAACACAATTATTATTATTATTATAGTATACGTTTTTGTATTTTTTATTTATTTTTATTTTTATATTTTTAAATAATAATAACAATTTATTATTATTATTATTATTTTAATAGCCATATTAATATATAATCACAAAATGTTGGTCAAATTGCTTAGCCCTACAAACAAGCACAGCAAATCTGGAATTCCTTTTTTTTTTTTTTTTTTTTTTTTTTTTTTTAAACAAACTTGCAATTTTTATCAGAAAAGCCCTACAATCTGAGAAACTAAATGAATAAAAGTGGGGTTAGGAGGGTAATTTGCAGTTTCTCAAACATGTCTGGGTGGACACATGGTTACATGTGGTTTGGCAAATAAAGTTCTGTAAAGTTTATGAAAATTAAAAAAAAATCTTCAAAATACAGTATCCTGAAAAAATAAAATTTCAGCGTTACATCACAGAAATGTGTGACATTTTAAAATACATTAAAATAGAAAACAGTTATTTTAAATTGTAATATTTCACAGTGTTAGTGTTTTTACTTTTTGATCAAATAAATGCAGCCTTGGTGACCATAAAAAGGCTTGTTTAAAAAACAAAAAAAATTATTATTCCATACTTTTGACTAGTCATGTATATAAATGCCCATCAACTGTTCACAGTTAAGAAACTGCAGACCGATGGAACCAGGTTAGCAGTGGCATAAGTGATATCAACAGGCTTAATCTTAATCTACTGTAATCCTGGATCTCTAAATCAAGTGTGCCGTGTGCTCAGTCAAGCTCTCAGCCTCAGTTCAGGCTACATGCCTTTTTATTGTTTTAACATATTCCTTCAGGTTAGTGAAGTCAATAATGATTAGTTTGTTTTTTACAAAGTGAGTGACATACTCATTGCCGGCTTGTGCATTGCTAAACCAATGATAAGCCGGGAAAGAGAAGTCAGTTTGCTTCTACTCTGTCTAACAGGCGGCTTTCTGTTCACGTGTACATTTCAGTTCTTTCTTTTTAATACATTTGCATTGGCAATTGATCACAGTAGGGCTGCACGATTAATCGAATGCGATTGTCATGCGCATTTTGATAGTAATGCCAGTTCTGTAATCAGCAGGAAATCATCATCACGTGCTTTCAGATGGAGCAGTTGGAGTTTCAGCGCGAGAGCGCCCTCTGGCCTTTGGATGGAGATTTACTGCTGATCACAGAACCGTGCTTCACTGAAAGATACGCATGACAATCGCAGCTTCTGGCGAATCGCAATCTCGATTCCATTTCGATTTATCGTGCAGCCCTAGATCACAGATCTGTTTTTGCTTTGTCAGTATGGGGTATGGAGCATTAATGACTGTGAAAAATAATAATTTACAGCATTTCAGCACAAGGCTGCAACTTAAAATGATCTCGCACATGTTGTTTTTGAACAATCGGTCAGTGTATGATTGTGCAGATGACTTTTTTCTAGATAGATAGATAAATGAAAGCAACTACACTGGATTTTAACAGAGAACACTGCAAATTCATTCATTTTAGTTTGGATGGTTGCAGTGAAATTTTGCATTTTTTTGCTGATCATGCAAGAATATTTGTTTCCTAGTATGTAAAAATTATGACTAATGATGACATGTAGTACAAATACTGGTCAGAAGATACAAAATTCACATTTCATTGAAGTAATCTGGTGAGATAGAATTTGCAAGATAATGTATATATAGCAATAATAAATGTATGTGTGTTTTATTAATTTCTCCAGTACCGATAGCAGAACCGTTAACGTCAGAGCTTATCGATACTCCGGTCTTTCATAATTTAGCCCCGAGACCAATTAAATACCGGGTTTCGGTACCCATCCCTACTCGTCGTATAGTGTTTTTTTGGCCAGTTTTTGCTATTATATTACTGTGATTGTACTACTATCTTCATAATGTAATGATCCATAGTGAAAATAATCACCAATTGTTTCATTCTGGTTTGGGTGTAGATTAATGTCTAAACAGATCTCAGAATCAGAGTCATGTGAATGTAAACAGACAAATCAAATATGTTCAGAAGATTGAATCCATGTATGAAGCCTTGCCGTCTATAAACAGCCGAAAATAGTCCTGTGTGCTACAATTAAATCCTTGTAAATGTTATATTGCTGTCAATGCTTTGGAACTAATGCTGAGCAAAATATTGAACATAATCAACAATCATATTCCCATGATTTTGTTTGGTATACTTAGCTACATTATGAATAGCACAATTATTTATTGCCAATATATTTCTTAAACAGCATGTCATTTAATGTTTTCCTCCTTACTTTGCAGTTTGCAAGTGTGAGGGCATTAAAACAGAAAGCAAACACAAGCAATAAACATAGTGTTTTCAGTATCTAAGATTGTTTTAAGTACCTGAAAGTTTTCCAGAAAGAGAAGCAAGCAATATTTTTTTCCTAGACCGCAGCAGGTCAAAACTTCATTCACATGCATAGATCTATTTTGACACCTAAGATGTTTTGTCCGCTCTGTTTACAAGCCATAACCAACTGTTTACATGAATTTTGCAAATGCATTTAGTCGCACACATGCAGTCACGCACAGCTACACACACGTGCAAGCGTGCAATTGCCCTGTTTGCTGCAACATTGCCAGACTTTAACTAATCGTTATAAAATGAACCGTGATGCATCTGAGAATCAATGTTTTTGTGCTTATGGAAATTAATGTTCATCTGATTGCCATTTCAGAGCAAATACTTAAATAGCAAGTTATTTAGCAGCAAAATGCTAAAGAATATTGAGAAATTACTGATTTGCAACTTGGCACCGCTCTAGTTCTCCATGACATGAAATACAACTGTTTTCTTTCCCCGAAATGTTTTGCTAACTGTCCAGCATAGCAAATAACCATAAATCCTTCTCTAATGTTTCTGCGAATACTGTGGGATTTCTCATAACTGAGATTCAGTTCAATCTCTCTTGATCAGCGAAGACCAAATCTGGCTGAATGTTATCTATCCCCTCGGGAAGCAGAGCTGTGTTAGATAAAGCCTATAGGGCCCTCAGTGGTACACATATTCATCTAAACGGGTGTCTCCCGCAGTGAGGTTGTCTAAGGCTACGTTCACACAGTCAGTTGACAACTGCGTTTAGTTACAGGCGTGAGTCTCTCTCTAAATTGCAAATTATTAAACCAAGCACACTAAGGGTGTGCATGTTTTTTTTGTTTCTAGATAAGGACACAATCAGCAAAATTCGGAAGCTTCGCATGAAAGCAGATGACTATGAAGTGGTAAAGGTCATAGGACGAGGGGCATTTGGAGAAGTACAGCTGGTAAGTGTATTGAGTATTGTTGTCATTTATGCTGCTGTTACTTCCATTTTTGGAGTATATATATATATATAGGAAATCGAGGGGTTATGACGTCATTGGCAGGCGACACAATGACACTTTGGACACGGTCCGTGCCACTAGTTAAAATTGCTTATTTCTCTGGATTTAAACATTCTTCGAAACATTTGGGATAATGTAAGTACACAAGTCAGCAAAATATATAACACTGTTCTAGTGGTTTTTGGATATTTTAATAAAACTAAATCTTACATTGTGCCTTTAATGGATCTAGAATATGGTCATGCAGATTAAGGCATTAATATGTGCTTTTTGAGTACTAATAAAAAGCCAATATGCTAGACTGTGCATGCTAATATGCAACTATTTAATAGTAGGCCTGTCAAAAAATAAATACAATTTCGAATATTCGCCGAATTTAAAATAAAAATCCATATATTCGAATGCAAAAACGTTGCATTCGAATTTTAGGTGTGCATCAGGCAACCTTATCAGTGGCACATGAGATGAGATGTAGGTGTCATTGCATTTTAATACTTTTTTTAGCCTATCCAGTTGAACCCACTAGATGCAGCGCTAGTACTCTTTGTGATTTCTTGTATTAAACTATACATTAGGGCTGTGCAATTAATCGCATGCGATTGTCATGCACATCTCGTAAGTAAAGCCGGTTCTGTGATTGGTAGTAAACCGCCATCACCTGCTTTCAGATGGAGCGGCATTTAATACACAGAGCCATAGTTCACTGACGAGCTAGGCGATATCGCATTCATAATCGAATGCGATTCATCTGCGATTATGAACGCGATATTGCCTAATTGTCAGTGAACGTGAGACACAGCACTTAAGAATAGTTTTTTAAAAAGCGCAGTGCAGAATGCCTTCTCTGCCATGTTGCCATCAAAAAAAAACATTTTCCATGCCAACTTGCTACTGTAAACAAAAGCTCGCTCGCAACACTTGCCCCGCCTCCGGGGTCTTCTGATTGGGCCACTGTTTTGGAACTAACTTTGATGAGTGGCGCTGTGTGTAAAAGTTGAAATTCTTTTAACTTGAAACGGCGTCTCAAAAACAAGGCACTCGTGTGAGACACTGCAAAAGACGCGAGACAAAAGCGCAATGGTCATACACGTCCGTCTAGCGTGTCTACATAGAAAAACAATGAAAAGGTAGTGCAATGAATGGAAAAACACGTTCTGTGTGAACAGCCCCTAACTGTACTTCCCAGATATTTTTTAATAAACATACCACATTAGTGCTGGATGGTGTATCTGTTTATCCGGCATACTGGTTTTAATTTCACGTATGATATGCATTTTTTAAATAGATGCATAGATAAAACTATGTGACACTGTTTAGCATGAAGAGCGCTATATAGAGTGTATTGAGAAGGGATGTTATTACCAAGACATTCTTATTTAATCTTGACAAACTTTTTATCATTGTGTATCAGTGATTTAGCACTCTTGCATTGATTTTTGCCCACTATTTATCATAAAATCTGTTACGTTGACAGTCATTTGTTAATTTCTGTCGGGAGTGCAAACTCAAAGTGCAAAATCAATTGATAGTTATTGATTTTTTTAAATAGAACAATAAGATGCATGTTTATTTGTGATCGCAGGGCTTCACAAGACAACATCCATTAGGGCATTTAGTCCATAAGTATGCAAGAATAAATGCTGTTTTCACATATGTGTACTTCATATTTCTTTCGAAGGAATCATTATTTCTGTTTCAGTTGTTTTAAACTAAATTATGCTCTGCCTGTCGTAGTGTGAATACAGTAGTAGTTATAAGACTGTTATATTCTGTACTGTTTACTTTATTTGAATGTCATAGTCCAGTGAAGGTTAAGTAAATAACAAGCCCTGTTCATGTTCCCTTTCTCTGTGTTTGGTAGGTGAGGCACAAAGCCACAAGGAAAGTGTACGCCATGAAGCTGCTCAGCAAGTTTGAGATGATCAAGAGGTCGGACTCTGCTTTCTTCTGGGAAGAGAGGGATATTATGGCCTTTGCCAACAGTAACTGGGTAGTACAGGTATGAATATCACATAGTGTATGATGGTCACAGTCTTTTTTAGCTTCAGACTATGATTCTATTCAGTTGGAGGATATCAAACAATTTTAGAACAATTATTTGTGATTTCAGATTGATTTTTGTTTTCATTTGTCATGCATCTCTTAGCAATAAGATGCATGTTTCTGTGTGAGCTTGTTGTGTTCAGAACAACTTGAAAGTAGGAGTGTGTGATATTGACAAAAAATGATATCTCAATGTTTTGTGGGATTTTTGTTGATAATGTTAAATTAAACATTTTGCCGAGTATGTTTTTGTGCTGGTATCTTTGCTAGAACAATTATTTGTGATTTCAGATTGATTTTTGTTTTCATTTGTCATGCATCTCTTAGCAATAAGATGCATGTTTCTGTGTGAGCTTGTTGTGTTCAGAACAACTTGAAAGTAGGAGTGTGTGATATTGACAAAAAATGATATCTCAATGTTTTGTGGGATTTTTGTTGATAACGATAATTAAACATTTTGCCGAGTATGTTTTTGTGCTGGTATCTTTGCTGTTGGGCCTTTCATGGATAAATAAATATGACACTAAAACCACCAGTAGTTGGCGGCAAGTCTTAATGAGTGATTCATTGAATCATTCATTCAGACGATTCGTACATTTAGAAACGAAGCATGAATGGATCATGGAATCATTGACTCAAAAGATTACTTAAAAAAACGATTAATTTAGGAACGAAACATTGCAGTTCCGCTTTTGTTTGGAACTATTTTCATTGGCGAAACAAAAAAACAGACACTATTGTTTCTAAAACGTAATTCACTCAATTTTAACTCCTTGTTTGTTAAAATGTTGGATAGAAATATCACATTCGCGATGGCGCTCATACGGTGATATTTGGGAAAACAGCATTCTTGCTTGTGCGATATTACTTAACTATATCATATCTTATAAATATAAAAACAAAAAACCTATACAGGGATATTTTTTGCTTTCGTTATAGACGTGTTTTAACTGCATGGCAATAGCTTTGTCAGGGAATGCTTTTGGACTCTCAAGATTTTTTTTTTTTTTTTTTTGAGTGACATACTTAATAATATCTATTAAAACTGCTACTTAATCAAACTTGTAACTACTTCAAACTTAAAACCATCTGACTAAAGCTGTTAAATCCACTTCAATCTTTCTTGTCAGGCTTTCTCAAGCCAACATAAAGTTTGTCGTGACAAACATTTTTTTTTTAATCTCATTATGATTATTAATTATAATTATAACCTGTGTGATTTGTCTCGAATGGGTATGAATGTCTATTTGCCATTAGTATAAAACCACATTTAAAAAATTTTCTATTGCTTTTGTGGCCATTTATCATGTGTTAAGGTTATATATGTGTTTTATAGTTTCTTGAAACATGTAGCTGTATTCATAAGTATGAAGTAATTTTTTTCTTTTTGTCGTCCAGCTGTTTTATGCATTCCAGGACGACCGCTACCTCTATATGGTGATGGAGTATATGCCAGGCGGAGACCTGGTCAACCTAATGAGCAACTACGACGTGCCTGAGAAGTGGGCTCGTTTCTACACTGCTGAGGTTGTGCTGGCACTGGACTGCATCCACTCCATGGGCTTCATTCACAGGTCTCATTCATACATTAAACAAGCCTTTCATTGTTTCTACTGGTGAGCCTACTTGCTTGAAATGTTGAAAATAACCTATGTGTTTGTGTTTCTGTGTGTTTTCGCTTAATATTTGTCTCAGGGATGTAAAGCCTGACAACATGTTGCTAGACAAGGCAGGCCACTTGAAGCTGGCAGACTTTGGGACCTGCATGAAAATGAACAAGGTACTAGGGGTGTGCAAAACTACACAATTTCATAAGAGTCACTGGGTTGTCTGAATGACCAGTTGATCTCAAGAAGCCCTGTATAAGTTTGCAAGCCCTGTAAATGTACAGGTACAAAACACAAACGATTGCGGAGGTCTCAAGATTCATTTTTAGAAGTATAAAACCAATTTTAACGTGACACGTTGTCTTAAAATTGCAACATTGTTGTAAGACATGGAAGAAAAACTGAATGGGACACTGACATCTGGCACAAAAATGTATAAAATTATTCTTGTTCAATAAGAAAAACCAAACATGTACAGATTTCATGTAATAACGGGAATAATGCTCACGGTAAGCGATTTGAAACCTTACAGTAATCATCCGATTGTAGTTATTTGATTTCATCACAGTTATTTGAGATGACTATAATAATTGTGCAATTTATATTTTAATCACATTTTGCCGTTCAAATAAGGGAACTGTAAGCATGTAAATAAATGCTACCATATTCATGTTGTTGTGTCTACTTTCCAGTGTACAAATATTTGAAGTAACAATAATCACATTCTTCATATGATATAATAATAAATAATTAAGAATAGCATTCAGAAATCATTATTTATTGTCCTATTTTCAACTGTATAAACTATACATAGATTACTGTGATGATACTTGTAAAATCTATGTATTGAATAATGTGTAAAATAATGTTCTTAATCTTCTCCTTCCTGTGACAGGAATTTCAGTTTAATTAAATGCCAGAGACGGTTTATTCTGTTACCAAAATACCAATAATAACCAGGAAAAACCCTTTATGCTTAATAAAGGACTTTTAATTATAAACAAATCTGAAATACACTGGGACTCTTATTTTGAAAGGTCTATGCTTTTCTATCACAATGAACACCATGAACATGCATTGTCTTAATTCATGGACAGTAGATCATAAGCAATCGCTTGGCATAAATGCACAGTATTCATTGGTGGTGAACTGCTCTGAAAGTGCAAACCCGTAGAACTGCAACTTTGGATTATGCCTAATTCAATCAAGATATTTTATGACTTTAAATTTCATAATTTTTGTCGTCTTACTTTTTTTTGCACGCATGCTCTTAAAGGGATAGTACACCCAAAAATGAAAATTCTGTCATTAATTACTCACCCTCATGTCGTTCCAAACCTGTTAAGACCTTCGTTCATCTTCGGAACACAAATTAAGATATTTTTGTTGATATCTGAGAGCTCTCTGACCCTCCCATAGACGGCAAGGATATTACCACGATCAACACACATAAAGGTAGCAAGGAGATCGTTAAAATAATCCATGTGACATCAGTGATTTAACCGTAATTTTGTGTTCCGAAGATGAACGAAGGTCTTACGGGTTTGAAACGGCATGCGGGTGAGTAATTCATGACAGGATTTTTATTTTTGGGTGAACTATCCCTTTAAATACATTTTACAGTTCACACCTATTTTTAGTTGCAAATGTGAGAAAGACTCGCACTGTTGAACCCTGTGAATGACAAGCATTCCTTCAGTCACATTTAGTGTTCTTTCAGTTCTGCTTTCGACTCTGTTCTTTTGTTTTTCCCGCTCTCAGGATGGCATGGTACGATGTGACACGGCAGTAGGAACTCCAGACTATATTTCTCCAGAGGTACTGAAGTCGCAGGGAGGAGACGGTTACTATGGCCGAGAGTGTGACTGGTGGTCTGTGGGGGTCTTCCTGTACGAGATGCTCGTCGGTGAGCTTCAGCATTAGTGCAACCAGAGCGCTTTCTGTTCCTTCTTACATACAGTAAATCACCACTGTGTTTTATTGTTTACACTTTCTGCTATGTGATTATTAAGGAAACATGCATTTCTCCTTCAGTGAGTTCATGTAGTGAAAAATTCATCAGACTGACTTAAACCGGTAACTTGAGCGATTTATTAAAATAACCTGCTAATAAACCAGTTGCTTGTGAATCGAAGTGCACATTGTTTGTGCAAAGACAACTCTTTGGAAAATCATGTTGTCTTGGCATTATTTTGTGATGTGCTGTCTTTTTATCCTCACATTTCAAACCCCCAGAGTGCTCTTGTCTATTAAAAGCTACACTTCTGAGCATATATCCCTACAACCAGAGGGGACCTCCTGGCACAGTAATTGAGCGTTTTGGCTCCACTTTAAATTCTCAGAAATTAAACTGCATAAAGGCAAAGACAAATTCCTAAGAATGCAAGTTTTCCCGACAGATGGTGAGATCACAGAGCTAGGAATAGAGGAGGCATTCAGAAGAATAATGGTCTGTGTTGTTTAACGTTTCCTTAGGTGACACGCCGTTCTACGCTGACTCTCTGGTGGGCACCTACAGCAAGATCATGAATCACAAGAATGCCCTGACCTTCCCCGATGACAGCGACATCTCAAAGGATGCAAAAAGCCTCATCTGTGCTTTCCTCACAGACAGGTTTGCATGCAAAAAATATTTTAAAGGGGTCATATGACGTTGCTAAAAAAAAGAACATTATTTTGTGTATTTGGTGTAATGAAATGAGTTTATGTGGTTTAAGGTAAAAAAAAACACATTATTTTCCACATACTGTACATTATTGTTTCTCCTCTATGCCCCGCCTTTCTGAAACGCGTCGATTTTTACAAAGCTCATCGTTCTGAAAAGCGAGGTGTGCTGTGATTGGCCAGCTATCCAGTGCGTTGTGATTGGCCGAATACCTCAAGCGTGTGACGGAAATGTTACGCCCCTACCATACTGTGATGCCGTGTCCCAGTGCGACGAGACTAAAACAATAAAACCCATTACAAACGAGGCATTTGTTGCATCCAGTGGGGACATAATTACTGATTATACTGTCTTTTTACGCGTTGCATCGCGCCGCGTAAACATAAAACCATGTCTGCATTTGTGGTCAGAGAAACGACAGACAACAAGCGCTACTTAGCAACTTTAGGGATCTTATCTATTCACGAACAGTTTGTAACACTCCAAAGAGAAAGGAAAACTTGAAATCGCATCATATGACCCCTTTAAACACCAGTGTGTAGTCTGACCCTCACATTTGTGCTGCAGATATGAACAATACCCCAAATCTTCCCAACAATTAGGCTTATTGTGAGCTCTTCTAAGTGACCAGACTTAAGTTTGTCTGGCTTGCAATGAAAAATGTCTTAGACTTACATTGATACACCAGTTTTGATATTCTCTAAAATGCATCAAACTGCTGTTTGTGTTTTCTGGGTATTACAAAATAATTTGGTTCTTGCATTATGATTGTTTTATAATTTTCATTATTTAAATGCTTCTCTTAGTTAGGCCTCAGTTGTTTGATTTCATTGCCTTGTGGAAATGACACTTTAACTTCACCACTAATTTCTGCATTTAACTCTGTTTAAGAAGGAATATTAATAGCTTTGAATTGTATAAGGTCACGCATTAGGATTAATATTATGATCAACTCTTTCATATCCATCTGAAAGCTTTAGATGATAATTTGATAATTTCATAAAGATTTGATTTGTTAACCTTATTTTTCAGGAGCTTATGAGTTAAAACTCACCCTGTACTCCTCAGTTTGCAGGAGTACATGTTTTCATCACTATTCAGTTGCATATGCAGAAGTGAACAAAAGCTTGTTTACTCAAAATACATCGTGCTAATCTCATCTCCTCTCACTAGGGAGGTGCGGTTAGGACGCAATGGAGTCGACGAAATCAAGCGACATAGTTTTTTCAAGAACGACCAGTGGACATGGGAGAACATGAGAGAGAGTGAGTTTAGCTTCTGAACCTCAAATCTGCCAGCTTCGTTATCTTTTTCAATTACCTTAAACACCCCATGAAATCAAAATTGGTCTTTCTATGACTTTTTAGTTAATGTCTGTTATTTTTGAAACCGCATGTATATTAGTGTACTGGTAAAATCTGCATTCATCAAAGCGTTTCATGGAATATTCAAAAAGGCATTTAGAAAAATCTGTTTTTGTCCAAATTAATTGTGGCAAATATGCTTTTTGAATTACTCGTATATTTTGAATCCTCATTTATAAATGTGTAAATGCAAAGTGATTTGCTGTAATTTTGTATTACATCCATCTAATCCTGAGTAGAGACAACAACTGAACTGAAATTGTACCTGCCTTTAATTAGCCTTGATGTATTTGTGCTTGTAGCATTATTTGTTTGTTCTCATTAAAATGCACTACTGTATTGTCGCCTGTAGCGGCTGCTCCAGTGGTGCCGGAGTTAAGCAGTGATGTAGACACAAGCAACTTTGACGACATTGAGGAAGATCGAGGGGAGGAGGAGACATTCCCCATTCCTAAAGCATTTGTAGGCAACCAGCTTCCATTCGTGGGCTTTACCTACTACCAGTGAGTACTGAGATTCAGAACAGGTAGTCAGTGCTTAGAGCCCAGATGTTTGTGTTAAATTAATTAATTATTGACTCGCTGTCAGGTTTCCTCGGGAACCAGCTATAAAGACAAGTGACAAACGCAGCTCGACAAAGGAAGATAAGAGTCATGTAAGAAATTTCACTTTCATGGCATTATAATAGTGAGTCTGTCTCTTAAACTGTGAGGGTGACTCATTTTGTTTCTCTTATCCCTCAGTTGGAGAATCTTCAGAAGAGAATTTATCAGCTAGAAGAACAACTTCACAGTGAGATGCAGCTGAGAGACGAGATGGAGCAGAAGTGCAGGTGTTTATCTGTCTGTTTGTCCATCCACCCAAACACTTTATCTAACCATCCATCTGTCCTTCCAAACCAATCAAACACCTCATCTATTCATCAATCCACCACCAAACTCCCTACCCAAACCAATCAAACCCCTTATCCATCCATCAATCCTTCAACCAACACCCTATCCAAACCAATCAAACACCTCATCCATCCTTCCAAAACTCCTCATCTGTCCATTGGTCCATCACCAAACACCCTACTCAAACCAATCAAACACCTCATCCGTCCATCCACAAACCAATGAAACACCATCTATCCATCCAAAACCAATTAAACTCCTCATCTATCCATCTAAAACCAATTAAACTCCTCACCTGTCCTTCCAAACCAATCAAACACCTCATCCATTCATCAATCCACCACCAAACTCCCTAATCAAACCAATCAAACCCCTTATCCATCCATCAATCCTTCAGCCAACACCCTATCCAAACCAATCAAACATCTCATCCATCATCCATCCTTCCAAAACTCTTCATCTATCCATTGGTCCATCACCAAACATCCTAATCAAACCAATCAAACACCTCATCCGTCCATCCACAAACCAACAAAACTCCTCATCTATCCACTCAAAACCAAACAAACACCTCATCCATCCGTCCATCCAACCAAACCAAACTAGCTTCTCATCCATCCATCCAAAACCAAACACCTCATCTATCCATTAATCCATCACCAAACACCTCTTCCATCCATCCATCCATCCATCCAAAACCAATCAAATACTTCATCCATCCATCCATCCACCAATCCATCACCATCCAACAATACAAACACCACATTCATCTATTCAAAACCAATCAAACACCTCATCCATTCAGATCTAAAGCAAACACCTCAATCATCCATCTAAAACCAAACACCATCCATCCATCCACCCATCCATCACCAAAGACCCTATTCAAACCAGTCAAACACCTCATCCATATATCATACATCCACCCAAAACAAACTCCTCTCCTATTCAGCCACAATACAACAGTCTGTCCCAAATACATCCTCAAACCAAACTCTTCATTCCGCCATCCATGCAGTATGTAGATCCATCCATCCTCAATAATCCATCCACCTTTCCTCATTTAAGCTCCTCGTCCCTATATCCAAACCTAAAGTAAAATTTTCTCACAATAAAATCAGGCCTTTGAAATCTGTTGTTTGATTCGTTTCCCCCTCAGGGCATCCAATACAAAGCTAGACAAGATAATGAAAGAGTTAGACGAGGAGGTGAGTGAAATGATTTAATCTCTAAAGCATGAATGTAAAGAATTACAGAGGGTTTGTATTTTGTATAAAAGGCTCTAATAGATCATTCAAGTTAAAGATCTGTTAAAACTTGGGTTGTTTTTAGTATGTTAATTCTCGGTTTCTTGTTATTCTGTTGTCCTGACGTGATTCAGAGTAACCTAAGAAAGAGTGTGGAGACTAACATGTCTTTACTGGAGAAAGACAAGATCATGATCCAGCACAGAGCAACAGAACATCAGAGAAAGGCTGAACAGGAGGCTGAAAAACGAAGAAATCTGGAGAATGAGGGTGAGGATTCAGTGTCTCATTCCAATGTACCATGGGGGTATTCTAGAAAGCAGGTTATGAAACTTACCTCAGTATGTTTGCTTAGAGTAAGCGGCAAAACTATACTAGAAATAAATCTACACCGCCATGTTATCTTTATATTTAGCACTTTTTTGAGAATGTCTCTCAAAAGAGTTTCAAACCCTGGGTTGACTGAACTTACTCTCGACCACATTTTCGGAACCGAAAGTAAGTTGTGTTAATTAACAGAGCACATTTGAAACAATCAATATTCAGAAAATATTATCAATCTGACTGCACTGGCACACTCGGATGAGAACACTGGTGAGATCCAAGTAGAACCAGAACCAGCAAAGAGCAGCCAGACCTGTATGTTATATGTATATCAATCTGTAAATTAGCTTGGGGGCGTGTTAGAACGAGCCGTTTTAGGGGGGCGTGGCAGAGTCTTAACTTTGATAAAGAATATCTCTTTGGTTTTGAGACTTTAGTCTTTGCAACTTCAGGGATCTTATCTATGCACAATCAGCTTGTAACACTCCAAAGAGAAAGGAAAACTTGAAATCGCATCATATGATCCCTTTAAATATCATTCAGGCAAGTGCTATGTAGGTCATTATAATATACATTTCAATGTTCTGTTAATACGTTATATGAAAAGATGAAGCACCCCCGCCCCCCAATATAAAATATTTTATTTCTAAAAACTTTTATTTCCTTTTTACTAGTGTCTACTTTGAAGGAGCAGCTGGAAGACTTGAGGAAAATGAGTCAAAACAATGAAAAGGTCGCCCAGCTGCAGAACCAAGTAAGTTTGTGAAGAACAAACTTGTGGTATTATAAATATTTAGGAGTTAGACAAGGAGATGATGTATATTTAATGTATACAAGATATGAATGTATGTATGATATATATATATATATATATATATATATATATATATATACTGTAAGTACTCACACATATAATATATTATATATTACTATATTTTTGTATTATTTATATATTGTGTGTGTGTGTGTGTATGTACGTGTATAAAGAGTTCAGATGCAAAAGCCTCTAACTGGCATCTGCTATGTTTAGGTTCAGTAATTTTACTCTAATGGCAATGTATAGGTCCTTTTCTATGCAATTAAAGTGAAATAACTGAACATAAATATAGGAGCCTGATAAAAATGCTCTAAAAATTTCAGACGTCATTTAGAGGCTTTTGCATCTGAACTCTTCATATATATATATATATACACAAAATTTTAAGGTATGCACAACACGTTATCTAGATTAAAGCAAATTAAAATGTGAGTTGTGATATTGTTTTGGAAGCTGTTCTTGAGATGACTTTCTCAAACTTTAAATGTACTGTGACTGGATCTTCTGCGATCCAGATCTTCTGACTCTGGATCTATACAGTGGGGAAAATAATTATTTGATCCCCTACTGATTTTGTAAGTTTGCCCACTTACAAAGAAATGAAGGGTCTATAATTTGTATGGTAGGTTTATTTTAACGGATAGAGAGAATATTTACTGAAATGCAAGTCAATTTATAACCTTTATATAATGTGTTTTTTCTGGATTTTTTTGTTGATATTCTGTCTCTATCCGTTAAAATAAACCTACCATAAAAATTATAGACCCTTAATTTTTTTGTAAGTGGTCAAACTTATAAAATCAGCAGGGGATCAAATAATTATTTTCCTCACTGTACATTACAATTAAGAAACACCATCTCACACAACCTTGTCCTCACAGCTGAGGGAATCCAACGACCTTCTGCGGGCTGAGTCTGACACGGTGGTGCGTTTGAGGAAGAGCCACACAGAGATGGGGAAGTCCATGAGCCAGCTGGAGAGCGTGAATCGCGATCTGCAGGAGAAGAGCCGCGCCGCAGAGAGTCTCAAACAACAGCTGGAAAAAGAGCTGCTCCAGCTGCAGACCACGCTAGACACAGAGAGACGGTCCTGCAGCCAGGGCTCAGAGGAGATCAGAGAGCTGCAAGGTAAGAGCGGGCTTTCTCTGATTTGAGGAGAAGCTTTTATGTGGCCACACTGCCATAAGGAGTTGCAGAGATGTCCTGGAGGTTTCTGCCATCTCCACTGATGATCTCTGGAGCTCAACCTTCCTCAGATCTGAAATCTCAGATTGACACAGTCCTGTTTCTGAGCTATGCAAGCTCTTTTTTTACTCTATGCGTTTTTAGCTTAGACCTTATAGATAATTTACCACAATGTGTAGAAACATCTCAAAGATGATCCAGAGTACTGGGATACACCTGAGTTAATTTCAAATAACATAGCAAAGGATCTGAATACTTTTCAATGTGATGTTTTAGGCCCTGTCCACACGATCGCGGGTATTTTCAAAACCGCAGCTTTTTCTATGCGGTTTGGCCGTTCGTCCACACGCAAACGCAGCACCAGGTCACTGAAACCGAACATTTTTGAAAACTCCTGCCAGGGTGAAGATTTTCAAAAAGTGTTATCGTGTAGACCGCGAAACCGGAGATTTTGGCTTGTGACCAGTGTTGCCAGGTTTTCGCAACAAAACCCGCCCAATTGCTACTCAAAACTAGCCCAATGGCGTTTCGAGGGGTAAAAATCGCATTCCAGGGGGTAAAATACACGTTTTTCGGAGGGGATCCTCCAGTAAAATTCGCATTCCAGTGGCTAAATATCACGTTATTGGGGTCGCTTCAACCCGCGGACATGAAAAACATCCCGCGGCAACAGTGCTAAAGTAGCCCAATTCCGCAGGAAAACCGCGGTCTTGGCAACACTGCTTGTGACGTCGGAGCATACGCTGTTATCTCCGCCTACTGGAAACTTTTTCAGGCTTCTGATTGGTCAACATGGCTTTACGGTTGAGATTATATTGCCACCTGTTGGCTTGGCATGCTCTTGACAGTGCTTCATAGCATGCGTTTGTGTTTTCATGTGGACGGAGATTTTTTTTTTAAATGGAAGAAGGAAAAACCCCATTTATAAAAATACCCGTGTATGTGTGGACATGGCCTCAGTTTTATCTTAAAACTACAAATCTGCAAATCAGTTTTTTTGCTTTGTTGTTTTGGGCAATGGAGGGAATGAAGTGCCATTCACACAGAACTCGTCTTTGCGTCTAAAAATGCGAGACACAGCGCTCAGGAATGGTTTTAGAATAAGCACAATGCAGAACCTCTGCAATGTTGCCGTACCAACTTGCTACACTTAAACAAAATCTTGCAATGCTTGCCCCGCCTCCGGAGGCTTCTGATTGGTCCACTGTTTTGGAACTCACATTGAGTGGCGGCATTGCGTGTAAAAGTTGAAATTCTTTTAACTTGACACAGCGTCTTAAAAACAATGCACTCGTCTGAGATTCTGCAAAAGACATGAGCGCAACGGTCATACACATTCGTCTAGCGCGTTTACATAGAAAAACCATGGAAAAGTAGCGCATTGGAATGGAAAAACGTTTTCTGTGTGAACGGCCTAAGGCTGCAATGTAAAGCAAAAAATTTTTTTTTCATTTTTTACAATTTTCATATATTACTTAAGTGTGCCAGTAGGAAATACTACATTTTACATTTCCAAACATTCCCTTTGCAGATATTGTGATCATCCAATGTGATGTAAGTCTGTTGTTTGTCTCTTTGAAGCTCGTATCACGGGTCTACAGGAGGACAACAAGAACTTGAAGCACAGTCTGTCTAAAGTGGAGCTGGAGAGAAAACAAGTGCAGGACAGATGTAACGTTTTAGAGAAGGTATTATTTTTATGATTATTTTTATTAAAAATGTGTATATATTTTTTGTGTATTTTACATAATAATTGTAGTCTATTGTGGACCATTAAGAATTTTTGCCTTGTGTCTGTTTTGCATCAGTTTACATTACCATAAATTACCAATTTTTAAGGGTAGATAAGGTAAAAGGTCATTGAAACCTTGTAAAGGTACCACTACTTTTTTTTTCTTTTCAGATTTTTTTCTTACAGTGTATGAAAGTTAATGTAATTTAAAAAAAAGACACATCAGTTGGTGCCTTCTAGCATTTCAGTAACAATACAGCAATGCACATTGAATGGAAATCTAGGCACTGCCTTGAGGATTTAGCATGTCTCACTGTTTGCGACTGTCTCACTATTAAAATGTCTCACTGTTTCAAAGGTTTATACATAATGCATAAATATAGTGTGAATAGAATGAATCAAGATTTTGTTCTAGTGTTTAAATTAGTGTAGTAAATTGATATAGAATCACTGCCAAAGTTCCAATCCATCTCCTGTCTTGATGATGATGTCTTTGGCTGCTATTGTGTTCACTGTGTTTTTAAAATGATTGTGTTGGCTGTGTAAAGTAATTGTGTTTTGTGTAACCAGTGTTTCTATGTGCTCTGTGCTTTTAGGAGAAGAACAGTCTGGAAATCGACCTGAACTACAAGCTGAAGACTCTACAGCAGCGGCTGGACCAGGAATCCACAGAGCATCGCATCACGAAGGCTCAACTCACAGACAAATACGAGTCAATCGAGGAGACCAAGTCAGCTGCTATGCACGGTATGTGTGCGTGCGAGACGTGCCGCGACCGCCTTCCTGCGAGTCCAGACACCGCACAGCGTCTCGTTTCGCTGCGTGTCCAGACACCACCTCCAGGATTTCACACTTATGCATATGGAGCAGCAGACTTGCTTTTAATAGCATCTTAATAGACATGATACTATCAAATAAGTTCAGAGAAAGTACTCTGTGTTGTAATTAGACTGTAGGAATTTTTTGGTGCTGATATTTAAAGCAATAGTTCACCCAAAAATGAAAACTGGCCATCCTCTCCCTCAGGCCATGAGTTTGTTTTAAAACCCAAAGATCATGCATGATTCTACGCAGACGCTACATGTATTTTACAAAAATTGGTTACTGGTGCAGTATATATGCAATTCATTTTTTTTTCTTAATGTTTGGAAACAATAAAAAAAAGTATCTAAAAAAAATATATACATTTTGATATATTTACGGTAGAAAATTTACAAAATATCTTCATGGAACATGATCTTTACTTAAAGGGTTAGTTCACCAATGAAAATTAATTAGGCTGCGTTTTACTCACCCCCGAGGCATCCTAGGTGTATGTGAAAAAAAGTGTCTCACACAGCTCCGGGGGGTGAACAAAGGCCTCCTTTAGCGAATCGATGCGTTTTTGTAAGAAAAATATCCATATTCAAAACGTATTAATCACTTTAATCTAGCTTGCGCTCACTGTTTTACACGGAAGCAGCTCCGGAAGGATGACGTATGAGGTCAGCGTTGCGCATGAATTAGACTGTAGATTCATTTCGGAAATCGAGGGGTTATGACGTCATTGGCAGGCGACACAATGACACTATGGACACGGTCCGTGTCTCTAGTTAAAATTGCTTATTTCTCTGGATTTAAACATTCTTCGAAACATTTGGGATAATGTAAGTACACAAGTCAGCAAAATATATAACACTGTTCTAGTGGTTTTTGGATATTTTAATAAAAAAATCTTACATATTGTGCCTTTAAATGTAAAATAAAGTGTAACCTGAAAGTGCATAATGTGTTTAAAGAAGGTCCACCTAATAAGAGGAAGTCAGGCTACAAAGAAGGGCGTGTCCAAATGAGTCACACCTCTATATTGAAAGAAACAGTACATTCACATTCAATTCTATTTAATATCAAAATAATTAAAGAACAATAGCAAAAATACAATTTATAGTTTTCATGTGACGTCACACCCTTTTAGGAATGTCGACCTGGAGGGCAAAACATGGCTTTCTTCAATTGAACGCTACAGCTAATGTAGTGAGTCAGTGTTAACAAATTCAGTACACACCTTATTGATGTTGCATTCTATATATAGGCGAACAGATTTGTCCAGAATATGAACTCAACATGCTAAATTGCACGTTTTCCCATAGAAAACATTGTATAGAAAACACATTCATATTCTGTGCCTGTATATATTATGCATAAGATGTATATTGAATTTGATCTTTTAATAACACTGTCTTAATACATGTTAAGTGTTTTTCACGTTGAGCATTTTAGAATGACTCAATGTATTTAGTGATTGACATTCTGCAGGTGCAGTTTGTTCACATATTTTTGATTTTCTTCTTTGGCTTGAAAACAAAACTTGAAAGCTGGCTTGAAAGAAACGCAAACTTGACAGGGTCTGTACTGCACTTCTAAGGATGTTTTGACCTCCAAGTCTCACATGACTGAAAACTATGAGTAATTGACAAAATTGTGACAATTATAAAATGATTAAATATAATTTGTGCCAGAAATCAAAGAGCAACAGAAATGGCTCCAACACACTTCAGTTAGGCAAACCGAAGTTCTTGATTCAGATGATTTAGAAATGCAGGTATATCGATCACCTGTTCATTCTAAATCTCTAAAAATAACTCAAATCTTTCCTCTGTCCAGCAGTGGACCAGAAGGTGGCGGAGGAGACCACGCTGCGCATGCGAGCGGAGAGCAGGGTGGTGGAGGTGGAGAAGCAATGCTCCATGCTGGAGTTTGACCTCAAGCAGTCTGTGCAGAAGATGGACCAGCTGATGAAGCAGAAGGAGAGGCTGGAGGAAGAGGTGAGCGTGAACCCGCAGTTTGACCCCACACACCTTAATTAAGGCCAAAAAGCTTTGCTTGATAATATTGCTCTTTTGTTGATTTTGATTGCTTCCATTGTCCTCATTTGATAAAAGCTTCTGCTAAATGACTAAATGTAAATGTATTAGAAACTGCTGACAGTGTTTTAGCAGTACAACTTCCGTATCTTTCCTCTTTCCTCCGCTCTACCAGGTGAAGGAGCTGCGGGTGCAGTTGGAGCAGGAGTCCGGGAAGCGTGTGCTGGCCCAGAACGAGCTGAAGAGCTGGACGATGGAGGCCGAGCGCCTGAAAGGATCAGAGAAGCAGCTCAAACAGGAGATCAACGCGGCCCTCGAGAACAAACGCTCCGTTGAGTTCCAGCTGGCACAGCTCACCAAGTACGTTGCTTTCTCTCTCCTGCGCCCAAAAGGGTCATGAATATACACCGTGAATAGGGTACAAATGTATCCCCCATTATTTGATTTATTATTGTTTAAATAAAAGACTAACCAATACAAAATGTCTAGTTTCTAAACAGGTTGCAAATGATCACCCCTTAATTTTTTAAGGCTGTCGAATGATTTTCTAATTAATAATAAATGGTTAATGTGGTTAATTAATTAAATTAATTGCAAATCAATCGCACATCAATTTAGGGTAAGAAATTACTCCAAAAAAGATGAAGTCATTATTTTGATTTAGAATTGCATAAATAATTATAATAAATGGGTGTTTTTTTTTAAATTAAATATTGAAATATGAAATGATTTTTTAAAAAAGAAATAATACTTTAAATATGAAACTAAAATCACCAGTAGGTGGCGGCAAGTTACTGTCTTAATAAGTGAGTAATTCATTCATTCACTCACTCAACCTATTCGTTCATTCATTCAGAAATGGCCTGAGTGACTCTCTTTATGAATGAGTCACTGAATCAAAAAGCTTGTCTGAAGTTTAACACAATATTAACTTGTTTATTGAACTATTAAGTCAGCAGGCAATATACACTGCAATTGTGTGCAGATATTGGGGGAAAAACAGCACTCTCGCTCACGTGCTATTGTTCAACTAAAATATAATAGATTGTAAGACAAAAACCTGCACAGGGGCAGTTTTTGCCCTCATATCTTGAATTTTAGGGACATTTAACTATTCTCGTAGGCTTCATTATACAGTCAGCATCAATGTAAGATGATGTACAGGTCTGTGTGTGACAGGGTGCATTAAATGCATTAGTAATTTTAACACATAATTTTTTCCCATAAGTAATCGCGTCAAATTTTCAAGCCTAATATTTTTTTGTACAAGCATTTCTGTTGGTTCTGTTGGACCCCAGTAGTAACACCGACCTTATAACAGCCTTCCTTTGGCTCTGAGCCAAATAGCGTCACAAAAGCTATTACATCCAGGGTTCCTACGGGGTTTGGAAAAGTGTGGAATTTGATTTAAGTATTTTCCAGGTCTGGAAAAGTATGGAAAAAAGAAAGCAGAGTATGGAAAATTATTTGTGTTTCCAGACTTTTGCCCCTATTTAGTTTTTTTTTATAATAGAAAATTAAGAATTTAATGAAAATAAATTTATCGTACAAGAAGTGAGGTTTCATGGCAGCTGTTTAGTGATTCTTTAGTGATCGCCAAATATGACTGAATGAATTCAAGGTGCACTTTTTCATTCTACAAAATGCAGGTTATAAGCAGGGGCGTACATTTCGTCTAACAGTGGCGGGGACAATAAACATAAAATTTCACAAGAGCAATTTTTGAAGGGGACACAAATAATACAGCTAAAATGGTACTTGTAATGATATGTATACACAGAGGAAAGCCTTACTACTATTAGTGTAACAGGGAGACCGTGCCAAATTAGACAATTTCAAGCTATTCAAGCTTCAAGCAGTCGTGTCCATTGTAGACATTATTATCCGTCACAGTGTTGCCAAGTCCACGGTTTTCCCGCGGAATTGGGCTACTTTAAGACTGAAAAACCTGGCAACCCTTTCCGTCAAGCAGGTAACGTTATTATAGCTAACATAGCGGGCTCATCGAAAAATACATTGGCATCATCTGTATTAAAGAGAAAATAATCACTTCATCTGATGTTTAAGTGAATAAAATAGCCTTGACAGCCTTGGAGTTCCACAACTATTGGCTTTGTTCTCTCTCACTGGACTCGCGTGTGTGTGTGTGTAGGTGATGTACAATTGTGTTGCTTTACAACTTACACAATTATTTAAAGTATAAAACGTTATTTACAATGCACAGCGTGGTTTTTAATCATATTTTTAAGGGGGACAATATGTTATAAGCATTTTGGATTTCTTCACACTATATTCTTAGCACCGTATTACATAACCTCAAGGACCTTTGCAAAAATAAAAAATGTACAGAATTTTATGTGTGCACAAGAAACCATTGAATTTAGCGTATAGGACAATGAACGCTGAGCCACCTATTGTGCCATCAGCCCATTTCGCGGTGTGCTTTCTTGGCCTCCACAGACTTATGCGTTAAAGAGACCTAAGGCCTTGAAATATGGCATACTTCCCTAACGAAAGCCAAATCTTAAACACTTTTTTACAGTACCAGTCTTTTTTATAGACTCTTGAACTTGGCAAATTTTATGCCATCAGCCCATTTCGTGTCATGGTTTCTGTGCTGCCGTGGAGGATGTGTTAAATTGGACATTAGGCCTTAATATTAGAGGTACTACCGTCAGAAAAGTAAAATGTTGAGCAGGTAGATCTCTGTTAATTCATGTGCATCCATGCTATCGTCTTATTCATAGTAAGATGGCAGGGATGCACAAAGGAAATAGGTTATATAAAACTAGAAATTGTAATGCATAAGCATGCAAAGCATTCCCATGCACATGTGAATAGTTTCTCAAGGGCACAAAAAAGTTTCTTGTGTGCATGTAAAAGTCTGTATTTTTTATTTATTTATTATTTGTTGTTTTAGGGACTCTGTATGTTGTCACTTCGAGAAAATCAATGAAACAAACCCTGAGAAAATAAACATTTACAGATGACTGTACTGTATACCAAATATAAAGCTGAAAATAATGCTCTATGAACCATTTATGTTAAATATGGTCTGCAAAACTACTGAGAGGTTTGGAAATTTGAGTCTGGAAAAGTATGGCATTTTGAAATGGAAACTGTGCAGGAACCCTGTACATCACTAAATATCTGAGATGCTTTTCTATTGTAGAAATAGCTATTATTGCAGCTTATAGGTTTAAACCAGGCCAAAACAGTTAGCTGCCAATATTTACATGGTTGGATTAAGGATTAGCCTCCGTCTGACCACAGCTGGTTAATCCTTCACCTCTCCTCCTGTTGGACTCGGTTCCTCAATGAGGCATTTCGGCACTATGCCTAGCTTTGTGTTCTCTACTTTAAAGTCAACATGAAATCACTACACTATTTATATTGTACAGGTTCCTGACTGTATTGTGAGCAGTGCATCAGTTCACATTAGTTGAAAATTAAAAATAAGTTTGTCTTTGTAATCTTTCATCAAAATATGATTACTCGATTCATCACTTAAATGAGTTTAGCTTGAAACAACTTGCTAAACTGTTATAATGGGCCTAGAACATGGCCCTGCAGGTCATTTTAATGTTCAATTGTACATTGTACTTGAGTTGTGAAGTTTGACTGAAATTGTTTGTGAATCTGACTGTTACTGATGGAAATGTATCTTTTCAGGCAGTACCGAGGAAATGAGGGTCAGATGAGGGAGCTTCAGGACCAGCTGGAGGCTGAGCAGTATTTCTCAGTGAGTATCACAGACTGCTGATCATACTTGCGTTTTTCAATGTGGTAAAAACACATTGCGCACTTTGAACAACCGAGTCTGGGAACTTTTACTTTTTTATATGATGTGATGACTTGATTGATATATGAGATGCTGCATGAAGCTACACGTTTTCTTTTTCTTTTTTTATCTGATTAAATTATTTAGTCATGCCACTTGTTTAAGTCGTGACTTTATTGATGTGCAATAAAAAAATACCAGTAATACCAGTTTCATCACAAGTTTATATAGTGATATGAACATTTCCTCATTGTGACGTCTTTAGTGCTGTCACGTCATATATTCTCAAGCCGTTTTTTCTTGTTTTCAGACACTCTATAAAACTCAGGTGAAGGAGCTGAAGGAGGAGATAGAGGAGAAGAATCGACAAACTCAAGAGACTCTCAAAAAAGTCCAGGACATGTACTCAGAGAAGTAAAAGTCCTTTTCATCAATAAGTAGCATTTGAAACAGGGCGGCTTTAAAACAATTAATAAGGAACCATAGAGTATCTTGTAACTTTAAAGTACTATTCAGCATTTATTTTGAATGTCGTCTTGTGAACTGCTGCTCCTGTTTTTATAGGGAGTCGCTGTCTGCTCAGTTGGACCTGACCATGACGAAGGCCGAGTCGGAGCAGTTGGCCCGCGCGCTGCAGGAGGAGCAGTATTTTGAACTCTTTCAGGAGCACAAGAAAGAC